CTTTCAATACCCACCGATGGCGGACCAGTGTTGGCTGCCAAAACTCAATACATAAGTTTCATAGATATGGAGGAAGTAGCTGATCTTGACAAAAAATTTTCAGCTTTTCGACACCCCCGAGGATAAATTGACCTGGAACATTGATTTGATGGAGGGATCTTAGTCATGATGCTTAATTTGTTGGAAAGTGTGATTATCCTCCAGTCATCTATTCTCCGGTTTTTTTCTATTCAACTAGTCTGTAACTTAGCTATCTGTTGGCACTTATTCGCATCACACTTCTTATTATGTACTACTACTCATAAATGGTCTAAACAATGGAAAACTATCAAGTGAACTTTGAAATCGTAAACTTTAAGAAATTATTGCCTGAAAAATTTGGTTTTTACCTTTATAATTTGTGTTCCGCTCCGATTCACTTGTCCAAAATGCTCGGTTTCAATGTTTAATTGAGCTTTTATAAAGCGTATGACGGGATTTAAAGCGTAGATTTTTCAATATCTCGCTAAGTGAAAAATATAGAACAATTTCTGACTATCATTAAAGATAAATATACAAGATTCCATATTTAATTGAACTGGCAGTGAGGCCGGAATATCAGTCACATTAGCACACTCGGGATCTAATGAATCAGTTCGTGAAATATGGAGGTTATTGCAACTCAGTGCATTCAGAATTCAAATGAAAGGAGACTCCTTCCTCATTCCATCCCATCCTTATCTTTTTCTCAGGATGAAAATTGTCACATTTTTGTGCATTACAAACGCGGCTGAAAGGGGAGATTCTAGTCTTTATTACTATGATATTATGTGTATTATGATTGCCGTTCGGTTCTTTTATCCTTGTATTTGTTTTGTTTAAAGTGAATCTTTCACCCAAGCCACAATGGAATGGGTGATTATATTTTCACAGAAAAAAAATTATCTTTTGGTTACTGCCAAGTTAATCACTCTTGTCTTGGGTACAGATGGGTCTTTATCTTGCATAATGCAAATTTAATCAGCTAAATTCACTTATAAACTGTTTATATACCTTCAAAGTGTGCAGTTGCCGAAAATTGTATCGAATAGGGTAACCATTTGGGAGTTATCGTTGGAAAATTTCACTGCAATACAGTTTGAATATTAAGCTTCAGTTAATTCCTTTTTTTACTGATTGAATCAAAAATTACGCTTCTCGAATTATGGTTACATCAATTGCACATAGTCCCAAGTCGCTCTTCTAAGGTAAATTATAGTTTGTTTAGGTCAATAACTGTCCTTAATCAAAGCCAGAAATACTTCGAATATAAATGGCAACATCTAATTTAAATAGGTCAAGTTAGGAGTTGGTCTGCGTAATTCATTCGGCGATGTTGCGCGGAGACATGGGTTACTTGATACCAAGTGGATTTGTAGTCTGTAGGTTTAACCGCCCGCCCTATCCTGATAGAATTATGCCAGTAGATTAAGATTTGATAAGATTTGCGTTTATATGTCTCCTTTTGAATAATCGATCGCGGATCAAAAGTATGTCTTAGGCAGGGGATGTATGGGCTTCAATTTAGTTTGTGATTGGTGAATGAGAAACGTACTTTGTGAAGGCAGATAGCTCCAATTTCGGTGAGGTCGTCCCTCGCCTTAAAATGTTATCCTTTAAGGTCTTTTCTTAAAAGCTTTTACTTTCGAGGCATGTGTGGGGCTGCAAATTGTTGCGGATGTCAATTTTCAAGGGAAATGATCTGCATTCATTTGCATTTTTAATTCATCCCCTTCAATTTCATCTGATTATAGTAGAAAGTATGCACCAAACCTAAGATTGGGTTATCGATAGCTTCAGTCTCACTTTTAGAACTAAAATGGCGTTAGATGTCATTATCCTGGGAGTCATTCTAATTTTCAAGATACCTGGATGCTATTTATCTCCGTTTGTCTTTCTGTCAGATCTGTAGTGTACTCTAATAGTTATTCTATTCCTCTAATTGGGACTTTATCCTACAGTTCAAGTTTCTCTTTAGTTTGAATTCGTGCTTAAAGACAGTCACAAAGGTGTTATGGCATATTATTTTGTTGAAATAGTAACTAAGACTAGCTTCCTTTACACCGAATTTA